ATTTAATACACACACAGAAAGAGCCAAAAGAGTTCAGCAGCCACTGGGAATCTGATTTCATTGCCGATTTGGACTGTCTCTGTAGTTTTTATGAAAATCCTTGAAGACTGTGCTATTTTGTAAACTAAACATGGCTTTTTTTTTTTCCTTTGCTGGCAATGTGGAGTCTTTTTCCATTCATTAGTGAGCTGCTTTTTTCTTGAACACAATTAGACAAAGGAATAAATCAGTCAACAACCATGGGACATAATTCTGGCAATACTTATTTGCTTAACTGCATAAATCTCTCACCAGACTACAAATGAGACCAGTTCTCTCAGTGTCAGGGTTGGGGAAAGAGAAGGATCGGACAAGATCCTGAGGATTTGACAACTCTCACCAACTATGGCTGGTGTTGAGCTGTTCCCCTCATTATAGCAATTCAGCATTCCAACTATTGGGGAATTGCTTCGAGGTATTTCTTCCATTTCCTCTCTCATATTACAGAGCTTAAGAAACATCCCCAGAATGATTGTGTCCTGAGAGCTGTATCTCTGAAAGGGTTTTTATGTTTCTTCTTGTCTGAAAATCTGCATCTCTAACTGGTTTTGGTGCAGCAGCCTCATGATGCTCTTGCAAGGAGTGCAAGGGTTGTCTTTGCTGCTTCTTGGGCAGGGAGATGATGTCTGCTCATAACTATGCCCATACCTCATGTCCCTCCCAGCACCCTCTAGCACATAGTCCACAGAAATGTGGTTTCTCTTTGCAAGGAGAAATGAAAGCTTTGCTGGACCCAAGAGGCAGCAATTCCCTCCCTGGCATTCCCAGCTGGCTCTCACACTTGCCATAGGTATAATTAAGGGTTTGTGGCTGATCTGCACTGGAGCAGCATTTGATTCATGCTGGTATTTGTTTTCCATAGCTAGAGACACCTGAATGCAAATTCATAGAGAATTTGAGGCCTGAGAGATGCCCTTTATCATTGGGCAGCATATCTCTACTTTCATCCTTCTTCAAGGCTCTTTTCAGGTTGTAAAGCTTGTTTTGATCCTCAGGAGACAAGTGAATCTCACCCAGAGTACCTCATACTGCTACAGATCATATTGATCTTGCTCTGTGAAAAAACACAAGTTAAGAGAAGGATTTGGGATTTATTTCCACACAGTTTGTGCTTTTTCAACCAGTATTTTCAACTGCTGGTACTGGTGTGGGTCGATTTCCCCTCCCCAGACACATGCACTTTGAGCTGCCCTTGCTTCCCATTCCCAGTGATTTAAGAAAGGTTTCTGCCCAAGTAACATGAACAGTAAGTCTACAGATTTATTTTTTTTTGTAAAGATGTTCTCAGGTTTCCCACTCTCTTTTTCCAGAGATCACCAGAGATCACCAGAAAAATAGGCATCAGAAAGATTTAGTGGGAAGACAGCTATAAATACTCCAGAAATGTTGATAAGTGCCAAGATTTAATGCATAGCTAATGGCCTAATCTGCAGTTTCATCACAAGACGTTTATCTCCTTGCTTGCTTTCACTGTAGTCTCCCTGGAATATCTGTCCATTTAAAGTTTATTTATCCTACCCAAGAAAACTAATTTCCTATTCATAACCTATTCCTGCCTAGTTTTTAAATGAATCTTTATTTTTTAAGGATACCTTGTCAGTGACTGAGTGCTACCCATGGTGCAGTCTTTAACTGAGCCAGAAGGAGCCTTCAGATAAAAATGCAATGCCAGCCTATGCCATCTGTCATAAATTATGCATTATCATTACAGGCTGAGATGAACTGGCCATCGCTGGATGGCTACAAACGCAGTGTTCAGTGGGGTGTAGCTGGGAATGGAGTTAATCTCCATCATACTTTGGCTCCTGCAGACATTTTCAGACAGGCTTCTCACTCAGGGGAAAAGAAGGATCTGCCTCGTGTCAATCATACTGGCTGTTTTTCTATCAGTGCTCATGCTGCATGTTTAGCTCCTACATTGACTGATTCATGGGGTCACATTTTAAAAATCAGGTGCTGAAAGTCAGGGAAGTCCAGGTTCCTGTGCAGAAGACCTTGTAGGAAGACACTGAGATGATTCAGGGCTGCCAACATCTTGGCCAGATTTGGATAATACAGCTCATCCTTGCATCCTTGGGGCCAGAGCAGCATGAACATGGCTTGGCTTGTAAAGGTGGCTTAAAACTGCCACCCTTTCCCCTTTGTCCTGTCCATACCAAAGTGCAGGGATGGGATTAATTATCCTGCCCAAAGAGACTATTGCTAGAAGAGGATCACTGAGTTGGGCCCAGGGCACTTTCATACTTGCCTCCTGATCTGGGATGCCTAGGAAGAGGCACTGATCCATCAAGAGGCATCCAGTGATGTACAGGAACTGAATCCAGTCATTGTAGCTCATTCTCCATGGTCACCTCCACACCAGGCACTAAATTGAGGTGCCTTCTTCTCAAAACTGTGTCTTTTGCCCCAGAAGCTGAAAATTAAACTCTTTTTTGTTGCGTTTTTTTTTAAACTCAATTTTCCTCGCCAGTGCCAATAAAAAGAAAGTAAATCTGAGTGAGAGCATGCAGCTGGTTAGCTGTCTGCACTGCATGGGCCCAGCAGGGTGAGGCTTCTATCTGGTGGAGGGCAGCTGCATCTGCAAGTCATTGCTTCCCTCTGTCACCTTGCTGGGATCTGTTTTCAGTTGCTGCTGAGACAAACTCACTAGTCAAAATATTGATGCTTTTCAAGTCCAAGTCAGCAACGTTTCCCGTAAGCAGTGTTTTACATTGCATTTGCATGAGTTGCTGTGTTGGTTGTCTCAAAACCTCCATAAACAGAGTTCTGTCATTAATTTTACTCTATTCAATGCTGGTAATTTGCACATTGTGCCTATCCAGTGCAAACCAGGCAGTGATGATGTTGGTGCTGTGCTGCAGGACGTTTAAAGTACAGCAAATCCATTGTTTCACGCTGAGTTGAACCAAATGTTGAGCACTGATCCTTTGCCAAACTGGGATACACACTGGGTAATCTTCCTTCTTCGGTAACAAATAGAACTTCTAGGGCAGTGTGCATTGGGTCTGTTTGAGTGCTGGTATCACTGGAGAAGTCATTCTTTCATGATGCTTTTTCACCCATTCTCTGGCTGAGTTTGCAAGTGGTTGCATCTGTGCAGCCTCCAGGGATATGGTACCTGCCCCTGGTGAAACATTAAACCTTTGGTATTCACTCTCCTTCACCAAGAAGTAGAGCCTGGCAGCCCTCAGCAAATCCCAGGGCTCTGCAGTGACATGTGTTTGATAAAAGGGTGTGAGAATTTATAGTTCCCTCTTCCTGGGCTTGGTTGGAAATCTGGGAGCTCTGACAACCTCTCTGGATCCAAGCCAGCAACCATCTGTGTGTCCCCCAGCATTGATGTGTTTGTGTCAGCCTTCACTGTGAGTCAAGTCTCTGCTTCTGAACAGAGGTGTTACTAAATTAGAGGCATTGGGTGACATGGTCAGTGACCTAAGGGTTGCAGGGGCAGAATATCCACCTGCACCAAGGTTGTCTGGGGACTGACTGAATGGCTAGTAACCCTAGCATGAGGACCATGGGTGATGGTGATGCTAGGTGAGCCAGTCATCAGGAATAAGGGCCACTGGTGAGTAGCATGGTCAGGACCTCCAGGGAAGATGTTACTCCTCTTTGCTTGGTGCTGGTGAGCCTGAATTGGTGAATTGGGCCTCTCAATTCAAGGGTGTGTGAATAAACGGGATAGGACCCAAGGGAGGGCTACCAAGAAGGTCTGAGGTCTAAAGTACATCATCTTTGAAAGAGGTGTGTTTAGCCTGGCAAAAAGGAGGCTGATGTGATTTAACAGCCACCTGGAACTATTTGAACAGCAGAGACAACTAGGCTAGACTCTTCTTGGTAGTGGCAGCTGGTACCATGACAGGCAACAGCTACAAGCTGCAGCTTGAGAAATTCAGGTTGGGCATTGTGAATATCTTTGTTTGAGCTTTTTGGAGCTTATCTAGAAAAAGCCACAGCAGAACTGATGTGTTCGAGCAGGAGGGTGGATGAGATCTCTTGAGGTTCCTTCCTACTAAAAGATCTGTGATTTTAAAAAATCTGGCCATTGAGATCTCTGCTTTATTCTTCTCTTTAACATAGAGATAATGCTCAGACAGACTTCCAGGCTTCAACAAGTGAGAAAACAAACAAATAAACCCCAAAGGATACAGACAAACGAATAAAACCCTAAGTAAACAAGCAAGCAAACAAACAAAACTCCCAAAGGTCAAATGAGTCTTGTTTATTTAACTCCCCAATTTGTAGTCATATTTGCAAGGATTTAATGCTTTTTTGGTTTTAAAATGTTTTTGGCATTGGCTGATAATTCGTAGTCACAGTGGAGTGGCTTGTGAACAGTTGCTAACTCAATCTCTATAAATTTGCAGCACGTTAGAGGTGTTGATGAGAGCAGCTCTAACTGCATGTAAGACCAGTGCTTGTTCCAGGATCTGTATAAATCTACTGCAAGAAGCACGAGGACTTGGAAATAGCTGTTCTGCTATGAGCTTCACTTGCAACCCCCAAAAATAAAATTTAAGTGCCTTTCATGAATGATTAAAACAGCCATTTCTTCTGAGCCACCAGAGGCAAGAAGAGTGAAAGAAATGAAGCAGTTAAAAAGTTGGTCACGTGCCTTTGTCTGGGGCAATGTTCACTTTCACCCCACCCCAAGCAGGTCTTTTTCCTGATGATCCTTGAAGCAGTGACCCCACCAGGGACAAGGCTGAAGAAGGAGATCCATGATACTGTGCCTGTTTACCTTTGAACCAGCCTGGCAAGTAAGGCAAGGGGAGGAAAAAAAAAACCCAAAGAAAGGAAAAATCAATCCTCAGCACGCTGACTCAGCACCTTTCACGCTGTAAGCTTTGAACTGTAAACACAGCTTCTGAACCTTCCCTGTGCTTCACGTTCCCTGCTAGAAAGCATTTTTGTGTCACTTCTCAGCCTGTCAGCCTGCACTAATTTACTCCATGAGCACCATGAATGCAAAAACCAGCGCTGGAGGTGAGGGAGAAGCCCCAGGAATAAGGAGCAAGACCTTGGGGGAGAGCAGCCACCTGGGGGAGATCAAGAGAGGACAAGTGATCCTTGTTGCCTACCTGATTACAACCCTAGAGATGACCTTCCTCTTCATGCAGATGGGAGTCATGCCTGTGAGTATGGGTTGTCCTGCTTCACAGCACATCTTGCTTGCAATGCCAGGCTATATAATTTCCAGTAAAGTCAGAAGAGAGTTTCTAGCAGGAGAAAGAAAAGTGTATTCCTACCTAGGAGGCAAGCTAGGACTGTGTTCAGGGAATGCCCACACAGTAGAAACTGGTTTATTTGTACTGCAGTAGCACCTAGAGCCCTTTCCTAGCCTGATGGCTTTGGGTGAAACTGATGTAGTTCATGTCTTCTTGCTTGCAGTGGGAAAGTGACCAAACAAGCAGGAATCAGAGATTTCAGATCAGAGATTGGTTTTCTGAGGGTGTAATAAACAAGCTGTGAGTGGGAGTCATTGCTTCTCATGTACTGGACTCTTTCTTCTGCTTGATGACCTATTTGGTGGAGAATTTTTTTTTCTAATAGCCAATCTAAATCTCCCCTTGAGTGACTTGAGGCTGTTTCCTCTCATCCTAATGCTTTTTGCCTGGAAGAAGAGGCCAACACCCACCTTGCTACAACTCAGGTAGTTGAAGCGAGTGATCAGGTCTCCCTTCAGCTTCCTTTTCTCCAGGCTGAACAACCCATTCCCTTAGATGCTTCTCATAAGACCTGTTCTCCAGATCCTTTACCAGGTGCACTGCACTTCTCTGGACATGCTCCAGCACCTCAGTGTCCTTGTAGTGGGAGACTCAAAACTGAACACAGTACTCAAAGTGCAGCCTCACCAGTGCCAAGTACAGGGGGACAATCCCTTCCCTAGTCCTGCTGGCCACCCTATTCCTGATACAAGCCAGGATACTGTTGGCCTTCTTGGCCACCTGGCTCATGTTCAGCCTCCTGTGAATGAACATCCCCACATCCTTTTCCACCACACAGCTTTCCTGCTCTTGCGAGTTCCTTGTGAGCTCCTGCTCTTGTGAGCTGTAATATGCAAGCACACCCCTGCCTCTGGTGAGCCCATGACTTCTGAGAGATCTCTCTGATGGTTTTGTGCCTCCAGGGACACACTGGTCCCTACTTCTGGGGCTAAACAAACCTGCATTGCCCTGAGCCTGTAGGTTGAGAGTTTATTTATAAGAGATTGGAGTTGTTGACCACCCATCAATATCAGGGGGTTTGGGGACCTGGGTACAGAGCAGCTATCAGGGAAGCAGGCAAGGTAAGAGCAACTCCACACTTTCTGAGAGCTGAACCTGACTGAGAGTTTTAAACAACTCCTAGCAGATGACACAAACCAAAACACTAATCAGAAATAGCTGTCCCTTGAGCACACAAATTCTAAATAAAAACCAGCCAACCAACCAAAGGATTTGGGCTCTTTGAGGTGTACATCTATGATTTTTTGTGAGCTCAAGTTGTGGATGTACCATCAGACTGTAAGCAAAGGTAGTATTTTGCCCATATTGTGCTTGCATTTATTCCAACTTGCTCAATTAAACAAAAACTCCAAGACCTTACCACAGCCACCCTCTGGGTGGTGCTCAGGCTGCCCCCCAGCTGTGGGCTCTGGAGGCAGGAAAGATACTTTGGATCTACCTCATCACCCTTAGCAGTAGCTGAGTACCTTCACCTGTGCCAGGCTGCAAAGGTAAAGAGTGGTTCAGACTTGTCACCTGATATGAAAGTGATGGTTTTGGTCACATCCCCACTGATCTTCATTAGTGGATGGTGTGGGATAGAAGCTTCGGGTCGTTATTAAGCAGCCTGTGTCTGACCCAATGACAATTTCATCTGTGGGTATGGGGACCTGTAGGAAGTGCTTGTTTAGAGCTGTGGTTCTCTCCACACAGACATTAAGCTCTTTATTCAGAAATACAGCATGCTTTATTTCCTGTAACCTATTCTTTTTCTTTTTTTAGTACTTGGCAAAGAGCCTAGGTTTGGATTCAGTAGGGTTTGGCTACCTCCAGACAACCTTTGGTGTCCTCCAGCTTGTGGGAGGTCCCATTTTTGGAAGGTAAGTGAGAACAGTTCTCATCACCCTTTTCATAGCTGAAAAAGGCCAGGACTTTTAATACTTTAATAAAAAACATTTAGTTCTGGTTCGTGGTCCTGTTGAAATGTCTGAAGATTTCATAAATGGGCAACGGGAAAAGAAAGACTATAATTAGAAACAATACAATGTAGAAGCAGCCTTTATATGAACTTAGCTATGTTTTAATGACACACACTTAAGTGTAACAATATACTGGAAACAGGCTTAAACCATCACAGTCCTCAGAGCCCATGTCCTAATGGCTTAATCCTGCAAATGTTTTATAGCCATGTATAATTCTAGAAATGTCTAGTGACTAGGAAACCTAAAAAGAGAGGGTATTTATTGATGTTAAGTAGAGCTATCAATTAAAATAATAGCAGGTCACATTATTTCTACAGCTGAATCTCACTGTGACTACATCAGTGTTTAATACAAAGCACATGAATCTTTAAGAAATTATTAATCTATAAGCTTATTTATCAAAATCAGAGTGGAAAAGATTCAGGTTTTCTGCCTCTTTACCCCATGGGACATGTGCTGCCTTTCCTATTGAAATGTAAATAGTGCAAAAAAATTCAAGTGGTAGGAGAATGCATTCCCAAAAAGCAGGAAAAAAAATCAAAAGAGAAGTGTAATCCAGTGGTAGGAAACTAAAATGAAGCTGAGAAAATCTAGCTTTTGTCTTTGGTCCTGATACTATCAACAAATAAATGGATACAGAGTTGGTGTGTGCCTCAGTGCTCCTGCGTGGGATTTACCATTCTGGTTGATGGGTTGTGAGCTTTACAGGATCCTCTGGTGCATGGGGTGTAGCACTTCAAGGAGCTGATCACCAAAAGCCCTTGGACATTACCATACTACAAATTTTAAAATTAATAATAGTGATATTAAATTCTCCAGTGCAACTTGAAAGAAAAAGCATTCCTAAGAATGGAGATGCTGCAAGAGGCCCAGTTTGAATGCTTTTTTCTATTGATGTACAAAACTAGAGTCATATTTCTGCTCTGGATCTGATGCCATCTGAAATCTGGTTTTCCTCTGTGCACGTGTGTGTCATTCACTAATGTCCAGAAGAGATGCTGAAGTGAAGGAAAATGGCAACACAGAATCCATCTGGATCTGGACTCCCACTGGTGTAGATGGAACAATAAGCACATATTGTCTGATTGATGGCAAAAGTTGCAACACAAGTTTGAGATAAAAAGATGCATGGCCACATCTTTTATAGCCAAGGAATTAGGCCAAGCTAACATGGGTTCAGGAAAGGCAGGTCCTGCTTGACCAATGTGATTTCCTTCTATGACCAAGTGACCCACCTAGTGGATGGAGGAAAGGTTGTTAACCAGGAGCAGCCCGAGCACTGAGCCCTGGGGAACACCACTTGTGACCAGCCACCAACTGGATTTAACACCATTCAACACAACTCTTTGGACCCAGTCATCCAACCAGTTTTGTGTGCACATCCAAGCCCAGACCAGCCAGCTTTTCAAGGAGAATGCTGTGGGAAACCTTGTAAAAGGCCTTGCTAAAGTCAAGGTAGACATCATCCACAGGCTTTCCCTTATCCAATAAGCAGGTCACCCTGTCGTAGAAGGAGATGAGGTTAGGTTAAACAGGACCTGCCCTTCATGAGCCCATGCTGACTGGGCCTGATCACCTGGTTGTTCTGCATGCACTGCATAATGGTGCTCAGGATTATCTGCTCCATCAGCTTCCCTGGTACTGAAGTCAGACTAACAGGCCTGCAATTTCCTGGATCATCCTTCCATCCCTTCTTGTATATGGGGGTTCCATTGGCTGACTTCCAGTCTGCTGGTACCTGCCCAGTCAGCCAGGACTGCTGGTAAATGATGTGAAAGTGGCTTGGTGAGCACCCCCACCAGCTATTTAAGCTCTCTTGGGTGGATCCCATCTGGTCCCATATATTTGTGCCTCTCTAGGTGGTGTAGCAGGTCACTGACCTCCTGGATTGTGGGAGGATCATTCAGGCACCATGCTTTCACTATGGGGTTATAGCCCATGGCTGCAACATAGACATGGTCTGGTGAGAGGAAATTATATGGTTTCTGAAATAAAAGTTTAACCAGGGTGAACAGTGGAAAAAAAGGGTCTCCATCATGAGAGTTTATTTATAAGAGATTGGAGTTGTTGACCACCCATCAATATCAGGGGGTTTGGGGACCTGGGTACAGAGCAGCTATCAGGGAAGCAGGCAAGGTAAGAGCAACTCCACACTTTCTGAGAGCTGAACCTGACTGAGAGTTTTAAACAACTCCTAGCAGATGACACAAACCAAAAACACTAATCAGAAATAGCTGTCCCTTGAGCACACAAATTCTAAATAAAAACCAACCAACCAACCAAAGGATTTGGGCTCTTTGAGGTGTACATCTGTGATTTTTTGTGAGCTCAAGTTGTGGGTGTACCATCAGACTGTAAGCAAAGGTAGTATTTTGCCCATATTGTGCTTGCATTTATTCCAACTTGCTCAATTAAACAAAAACTCCAAGACCTTACCACAGCCACCCTCTGGGTGGTGCTCAGGCTGCCCCCCAGCTGTGGGCTCTGGAGGCAGGAAAGATACTTTGGATCTACCTCATCACCCTTAGCAGTAGCTGAGTACCTTCACCTGTGCCAGGCTGCAAAGGTAAAGAGTGGTTCAGACTTGTCACCTGATATGAAAGTGATGGTTTTGGTCACATCCCCACTGATCTTCATTAGTGGATGGTGTGGGATAGAAGCTTTGGGTCGTTATTAAGCAGCCTGTGTCTGACCCAATGACAATTTCATCTGTGGGTATGGGGACCTGTAGGAAGTGCTTGTTTAGAGCTGTGGTTCTCTCCACACAGACATTAAGCTCTTTATTCAGAAATACAGCATGCTTTATTTCCTGTAACCTATTCTTTTTCTTTTTTTAGTACTTGGCAAAGAGCCTAGGTTTGGATTCAGTAGGGTTTGGCTACCTCCAGACAACCTTTGGTGTCCTCCAGCTTGTGGGAGGTCCCATTTTTGGAAGGTAAGTGAGAACAGTTCTCATCACCCTTTTCATAGCTGAAAAAGGCCAGGACTTTTAATACTTTAATAAAAAACATTTAGTTCTGGTTCGTGGTCCTGTTGAAATGTCTGAAGATTTCATAAATGGGCAACGGGAAAAGAAAGACTATAATTAGAAACAATACAATGTAGAAGCAGCCTTTATATGAACTTAGCTATGTTTTAATGACACACACTTAAGTGTAACAATATACTGGAAACAGGCTTAAACCATCACAGTCCTCAGAGCCCATGTCCTAATGGCTTAATCCTGCAAATGTTTTATAGCCATGTATAATTCTAGAAATGTCTAGTGACTAGGAAACCTAAAAAGAGAGGGTATTTATTGATGTTAAGTAGAGCTATCAATTAAAATAATAGCAGGTCACATTATTTCTACAGCTGAATCTCACTGTGACTACATCAGTGTTTAATACAAAGCACATGAATCTTTAAGAAATTATTAATCTATAAGCTTATTTATCAAAATCAGAGTGGAAAAGATTCAGGTTTTCTGCCTCTTTACCCCATGGGACATGTGCTGCCTTTCCTATTGAAATGTAAATAGTGCAAAAAAATTCAAGTGGTAGGAGAATGCATTCCCAAAAAGCAGGAAAAAAAATCAAAAGAGAAGTGTAATCCAGTGGTAGGAAACTAAAATGAAGCTGAGAAAATCTAGCTTTTGTCTTTGGTCCTGATACTATCAACAAATAAATGGATACAGAGTTGGTGTGTGCCTCAGTGCTCCTGCGTGGGATTTACCATTCTGGTTGATGGGTTGTGAGCTTTACAGGATCCTCTGGTGCATGGGGTGTAGCACTTCAAGGAGCTGATCACCAAAAGCCCTTGGACATTACCATACTACAAATTTTAAAATTAATAATAGTGATATTAAATTCTCCAGTGCAACTTGAAAGAAAAAGCATTCCTAAGAATGGAGATGCTGCAAGAGGCCCAGTTTGAATGCTTTTTTCTATTGATGTACAAAACTAGAGTCATATTTCTGCTCTGGATCTGATGCCATCTGAAATCTGGTTTTCCTCTGTGCACGTGTGTGTCATTCACTAATGTCCAGAAGAGATGCTGAAGTGAAGGAAAATGGCAACACAGAATCCATCTGGATCTGGACTCCCACTGGTGTAGATGGAACAATAAGCATATATTGTCTGATTGATGGCAAAAGTTGCAACACAAGTTTGAGATAAAAAGATGCATGGCCACATCTTTTATAGCCAAGGAATTAGGCCAAGCTAACATGGGTTCAGGAAAGGCAGGTCCTGCTTGACCAATGTGATTTCCTTCTATGACCAAGTGACCCACCTAGTGGATGGAGGAAAGGTTGTTAACCAGGAGCAGCCCGAGCACTGAGCCCTGGGGAACACCACTTGTGACCAGCCACCAACTGGATTTAACTCCATTCAACACAACTCTTTGGACCCAGTCATCCAACCAGTTTTGTGTGCACATCCAAGCCCAGACCAGCCAGCTTTTCAAGGAGAATGCTGTGGGAAACCTTGTAAAAGGCCTTGCTAAAGTCAAGGTAGACATCATCCACAGGCTTTCCCTTATCCAATAAGCAGGTCACCCTGTCGTAGAAGGAGATGAGGTTAGGTTAAACAGGACCTGCCCTTCATGAGCCCATGCTGACTGGGCCTGATCACCTGGTTGTTCTGCATGCACTGCATAATGGTGCTCAGGATTATCTGTTCCATCAGCTTCCCTGATACTGAAGTCAGACTAACAGGCCTGCAATTTCCTGGATCATCCTTCCATCCCTTCTTGTATATGGGGGTTCCATTGGCTGACTTCCAGTCTGCTGGTACCTGCCCAGTCAGCCAGGACTGCTGGTAAATGATGGGAAGTGGCTTGGTGAGCACCCCCACAAGCTCTTTCAGCACCCTTGGGTGCATCCCATCCAGCCCCATAGATCTGTGCACATCTATGTGATGCAGCAGGTCAGTGACCATCTTGTCCTGGATTGTGGGGGGTCATTCTGCTCCCAGTCCCTGCCCCCCAGCTTGGGGAATTGAATTCCCTCTATAGAAGTGGTGCTGTTACTGAAGACAGAGGTGAAGAAGTCATTAAACACTGTGGGCTTTTCCTCATCCTTTCATCACTGTGTTTCCTCCTGCATCAAATAGGGGATGGAGGGTCTCCCTGGTCTTTCTTTTGTTGTTGATATATTTATAGGAACATTTCTTGTTATCCTTTACAATAGAGGCCAGATTAATTTCCAGCTGGGTTATTCAGTAAATTGAAGTAAAATGAAGGAAGGAGGAATTGGAGTGAAAAACTCTACAGCCTAGTTTATGGTAATCTTGTCCCAGTTGCTCAGAACCTTTTCTGTGGTACACCCAGACTTTGTTCAACATAGTTTGCAAAGTATCTTGGAGTTGAATAAAACCCAAACCAAAACTTCATCTGGCTATTTTGGTTTCTTTCCACAAATAAAAGCAAATTTGAGTTACTATTGTGAAGTCTTTATTGAACTTAAATAGAAAGCTGGCTATTTATTTTCTTTAAGTGGTGCTAAATGAGAAATTTTGCTTTGAACATCCTCTAAAAAGACATTGAAGTAACTTCTATTGCCATTGAACCTGAACTAAAAAAACAGCTAATCTGTTTGCCTGATCTGAACCAACTCTAAGCGTTGCAAAGTAAATTTTGAGGGTGCTCTGTGTTCTGTGCTGTGATAATGCTGAAGGATTTGCTGAGCTGCCATAACTGCTTCTGCTCATGGCTGATCTTTAGCAGCTCTGAGATAAATCACTTTTATTCAGCAAAATGCCAGTGGAAGGGACTTAAGCAAGCATGTGTCATTTTGTGAGGTCTGGAGACTGGCCATGTGGTGGCTGCTGACCAAGCTCCTTCCTCCTCTGGAAGGCTTCCAATTTGGGGGGGGTTGTTTTGGGTGCAATTGAGTTTTTTTGCTAGGTGAAGTTTTGTATTGCTGATAGCAGTGAAGAGCAGTTACCCAGTGCTGGGGTTCTGAGTATCTAGTCCTCTTTTGAGACCAGAGCACTTCTGAGAATCTGATCAGATTCTGTGACAGGAAAATGAGAGAGATGGCCATGCACCTCCACCCACCCGAGTGCAGCACACTTGGAACAACCAGCACAGTCACACTGCTGACACACATGTACCTTTTCTGTACCAGGTTTGCAGACCAGTTTGGGACCCGAGCTGCCTTAATTCTCTCCTGTGCATCTGGAAGTGCCTTCTTCCTGCTCACGTCCATCTCCAGCAACATCCCCCTCCTCTTTCTCTCCAGGCTGCCAGCAGTGTTCATGCATGGGGTACCAGGTAAGGTTGGTCAGGGCTGGGTGACTTTCCAAATTGCATTTATTGCCTGATTCCTCTCTTTATGCTCACGTTGGTAGAAATCAACAAGCTCAACAGCATGAAGGAAGGCAGAAGGAACATTTCATGGTTATCACAGGTGAAAGACTGAGAACATGAAGCAGCAGGTGTATTGGTTATGGGAAGCAGCAGGAAAGCAAGGCCAGGTAGCCTGTAGCCCCAGGTTCATCCTTGTGTGTGTTCCTCAGCAAATTTATTGGACTTCACTATCCAGACACAGGTGATGAGTACTTGCTGGCTGCAGTGCTATCCCAAACTTCTCAGCTGATTTCTTGCAATCAGGATGTTTTATAAGAGAGCTTTTCCCTTTCTCCTTGTTAAATGAACATATTAGACCAAATGTTAGTTACAAAAACACCTTCTGTTACCTATCAAGCTGTTCTGCTTTAGTTGGCCTTTCCTAGATGTTTCTAGTATAATCCATACAGTGGCTTTCAGCTACCAGAAGTCAATGTAACTCATGCAAGAAGACTCAAGTTGATAGAGTTTTAAGCCTCCTCTCACCACTTGCAAAGTAGTTTATCTGAGTGGCTTGAGCCTTTTGTTTCCTACAGCTGATGGGCTGAACCAATTCCACTCTGTGGTGTGTATGAGCATTTGCCCTGGGGTTGCAAGGACCATTTTGTGGCAGGCACTGCTTCTGTGGCCTAAAGATTTATACCTGTTGCTCAGACCCCATGGCAAGCTTCTTTCAAGTGATTTGTTTCCCTGCAGGTGCTCAGAAGCTTATTACAGACCTGACTTCTCCTTCTCAACGTGCTGATGCTTTGGGGAAACTGGGTCTTTGCTTTGGAGTAGCCATCATCATTGGCTCTGCCCTGGGAGGTGTCCTCTCCACCAAACTTGGGTGAGTGGCTCCTTTGTTTGCTGTTGGTGTTGCAACTGTTGAGAGAGCAGCTAAGGATTGTTTTGCTCCCTGCCAGCATTTTATGATATCTTACTGCTGGTGGCAGTAGAGGATCATACCAGAACTCAACATTTCTGCTTTCCATACCTCTACAGAGAACTACTCCCACTGTTTTTCAAGGGACCTTGTTGAAAATCTCATCTTCTCTCTATTTAAATTGATATAAAACCAAACTGAAATGAGAAACTGAGTCTGTCTCCTGGTTGCCTTCTCTTTGGAGCTGAGTGTGATGAAAAGCAGCACATATTCCATCACTTGCTTTTAAGAAACAGGGTTGAACAACTGAGAAATGGAAATTGTGAGCACTGTGAAACTCATGGGGAAATCAGTAGGCTTGGGGATGCTCAATGTAGAGTAAGGCCCCGGGAAAGGAGAAAGGAAGTTTAGGACACTGAGAAGAAAAGAGTGAGGAGGTCTAGAGCCCTGTCACAGCAAGATGAAGCACATGCCTGCCCCTTCCCTGTGCGCTCTCCACAGCCTGGCATGTCAAAGCAGGCTGCCACCTTCTCTTGTGTGCTGCAATAGGAAAGAAACACCTAATTTTACTGAATTCACTGGTCTCTGTTCCCTCTTAGTAAAGGAAGTGAGGTGTGTCAGAGAGTTTTGCAGGCAGGGAAGTGCTGTAATCTTTATGGCAGATTCCACAGCTTTTCTCTGCAGAGGGAAAAAAAAAAATCCCTTTGAAATCACTGGTCTCTGTTCCCTCTTAGTAAAGGAAGTGAGGTGTGTCAGAGAGTTTTGCAGGCAGGGAAGTGCTGTAATCTTTATGGCAGATTCCACAGCTTTTCTCTGCAGAGGGAAAAAAAAAAAATCCCTTGTGAACTTTTCAGTGTTTCTGTTGCTCTAATTGCTTTATTATGGACACTTGCTTCTGCAGATTCAGGTCAGAATGGAAAGGACTTTTTTCAACCTCTGCAAGCATTATTGCTGCTCTACAGCACTGGGGAGAGGTTAAAAATCCTTAGGGGAAGCTCCAGCTTTCAGGAACTGGGCTTGTCCTGGAAGGGATCAGTGTTGATGGCAAGTGTCAGTGTCTATTACATGTCCCTGCAAGAGCTGCTTGCAGCCTCCTGTCACCATCACAGCAGCCCAGGGCCACCCTACCATCCCATGCACCAACTCCCTTCATTTGTACAGCAGTGGTAGCTCATTAAATAATTTTTTTTCTGAACTTAAGGCAGCCAAGTCAAATATTGATTTTTTTCATTATCCTTTTCCAAGTGCCGTAAGCACTGCAGGGCTATGACACCTGGGCATTTTGCATAGTGCACACTCAGTTAAGGTGTTGGGCATCATGCATTCTTCTCTGAAACCTGTTGTGTGACCACATGCATTCAGGTGCTGCAGTGATGCTTCTTTTTATCTCAGCTCTCTGTAAACCT